TTTGGGGATGGGGGAATGAAGGAGGAAAGGGGGGGGGGGGGAACCAACTTGTCACTGCACACATCCACACATTCATTAATGTGCTTTAGGTAATGCGCATTAAATCTAGTTCCTCCATTATGAGGTACTAGAAAAATGTGCATTAGCCTATTTTAATGTGCATTAGCTAAAGGGCATGGCTTTGTTTTGTGGTGCTTTAATGCACATTAAAATAAACCAGTGCCCATTAAAGCACATGTGTAGGCACACCCCAAAGGAGTGCCACAGGCCTAGTTACCTTGTTCAGGTTGAGTGAAAAAAAAATCCAAACAGAATAAATAATGAAAAATACTTTAATTATAAACAGTTCTTATGAGTTTAACAATTCAAGGTAACCTTGGTATCAAAAGAGGGAGTCCATTTTCTTAAAAGAGGCTGGATTCCTTATTCTCTTTACCCCCTTATTCCTAACTGAGACCAAACTCTCATTAACTTCAGTGAGCCAGGACTTTGACTTGCATTAAACTTGACAACCGACCCTTTAAATAGATTAAACCGAATTTGAATCCAAGTGCCAGGTAATTTACAGAGCACAGGCAACCAGAAGCAGCCAACTCCAGATAGAAGAATGGCTCCTACTTCCACTGGAGTCTCACTCTGATCCACAATGCTGAATCAGGGTAAGAGGGCACCATTCATTACATCAGATCCATTTAAAATATGGAGCAACATCACTCTCACTCAAAGAGAGACAACCTCTCCCAGATCTTCCAAAGATGAATGCTGATGGTATCTGCTAACACGGATTCCCTCTTAAAGGACAAACTTACTTTACAGGCTTTCTACATGGCTTTAATTGCTCATGGATCTAGGTGTTGTGGCTCTTACCTGATTCAGTATTAAACGCCACTGTATTGCTGCTTGGACCTTCACCGAGAGGGTTCCTGGGTTTCACCTGGAATTCATAGCTGGGGGATAGAAATAGCAAATAAACAACATTGCACAGTGCTTGTGTCTGTTCTGGGAAAGTAAATTCTCCTCCTGGACACCTCTGCTGGTGCTGTTAGCTTCCTGGACAAGCATACCAAACTACAGAATCATAGGGAAGTAGGACTGGAAGAGACCTGCAGAGATCAGCATCATCCCCATCCAAACCATCCTATATAAGTCCATAATCTAAACTCTTCATAAAGCTGTCAACCCTGGCACAACACAAGATGCAACACCCTAACCTGCCACAGGTAAAGCAGGGGAACCACAGCAACCAATATCCTGCTTTTATAAAAGATTATTAATATATGCACAAGAGATCCCAGGTAGAAGACCATACCCCCTGCTCCAGGGCAAGGGAAAAACCTCCACAGTCTGTACCAATCTGACCATGAGGTACTGGTCAGGGTCAGAAAACATTTAGACCTACTAATAAAACTCCTCAATGACTTCAAATGATACTCCTTTAATCACAGGTTGCTTGGAGTAGAGTAAGAATGGCAGCTGCTGCCAACCAACAGCATCTTAGGAGGTAAACCCACTCTTTACAACTGATTATGTTATACCTTTCTCATATAGTTAGTCTATAGGGTGCACCTAACTTCAGACTAACACAGCTAACTTCTGCCAACCCAGTACCTGCAGCCACTGTTGCTGGTCTGGTCACTGCTGCCACCTGTGCTGCCTGGGGCACAGGCCCTGGTTATTGCACCTCTGTTTGTTAATGATCATTTCAGTGCTTCTGTGGTGTCTCTTTCACCCTGCTAGGGGAGGTATGCAGGTGTGGTGATAAGTAATGAGAACAACCAGACTCTCCGAAGAGGTTGCTGATGGAAGTGCACAGTTGCTTTTTGATATTTCCCCCTTCTCCATTCACAAAAACACCTCCCCCACCCCAATTCTGTTTCTCCCAAGCCCTCCAATAGTGAGGAAGGGGAGACAGGGGCTGCTGCATGGAGCACGTGCTTTCCAAGAGGCAGGGCAGGAAGGCTCAGCCAAGGGACAACTCCAATTGGCTAAATGTAACTCAGTGCTCACTCTCCAGACTCATAAAAATGTGTCCTGCTGGGGAATGTCTCTGTCTCATCCTTCACCACAGAAATATTTTATGGCTCCAACCTATGCTCCAGTATCTCCTGAATGCTCTTCCCCATGGCTGGGAAGCATGAAGGAGAAGCTGAACAAGGTTGGAAACAATAATAATACTATCCCAGCCAGACTCTTTTGCTGAGGCTCTTCGCCTGCTTCAGGTCACTTCTACAAGTTACATTTTCTGTGAGGTTGGGCCCCTGGAAGCACTCTAGAGGTGTGACATAACACTCATGCACAGCTGAAGAGTGCTTTTAAAATGGCTGATCACACGAAAAATTAACCCTCAATAAATCAGCTATTAACTGAAGGTGCTTTAGAACAGAGCGCCGCCTTAAGGAACTTGTGCTCCCCTGAGGGTTAATTTTTAGTGCCTTCGTGGGGCTGAGCTGGTGCTCACGTGGGCAAGCACCAGCACAGTCCTGTTCCCAGAGCTGTTAGTGTGGGAGAGAGGGGCAGGGAAGGAGAGAAGCATGTAGATGCCAGCTGGGATTTGCCTGGATGGAGCTGGAGGGATGGGGGAAGGGTGCAACACAGCTCCCTTGCCTCGTGGGTGCCCCAGCTACCCCACCTGGTGCACTGGAGGGAGCTGGGCCGGGCCTATGAGGCAAGGGGAATTCATTCTACTCCATCCCCCCGAGCTGTAGCTACAGCAAAGCCAAGCCAGCAACTGCTGACACTGGCAAGAGGCCCAGCTTCCCTCAACACCCCGGTCAGGGTAGCTGAGGGTGGGGCCTACAAGGCAATGGGGCTCCATTCCACCCTGCTCCACCTCCAGCTCCAGCCAAGCAAAACTCAGTTAGCACCTGTGTGCTACTCCCTCCCCTACCTCCCCCCCTAACCTTTCCTTTCCCTTCCCCACTGACACAGCCCCAGAGCTGGGGGTGCAGTTGGGCCTGGGGAGAGGGGTGGTTTAGCAGCCTCCTCAGAGGCATCTGGAGCGCCTCCACCTGCTGGCCAGGGCCACAGAAGGCAGGCTTAAGCCCACCAACCCAACAGGTGAGTGTCTGTTGGGTCAGGGAGAGGAGGGGGAGGGCTCTAACTCATGGCACTTTGTGTAAAGTGCCATGAGTTAGAGCACAGCCCCTAAACATCTGCACACACACTCAGTCTGGTCAGGTTCTGAGGAAAAGGGAAGGCTCAAGTGCAGAGTGTAAACATGCTACTAATGCTCTCATGCTACTACATCAGGAGGAGGAAGAGCACTGGGTCTGGACTGAATGTTATCTTGAACAATTAAATGTTGCTCTTGACTTACAAAGAATCAATTATGAATGGTTCATAGGTTCATAGGTAGTAGGGTTAGAAGGGACCTGAACAGATTATCAAGTCCAACTCCCTGCCATGGGCAGGAATGAATACTGGGCTCATATGACTCCTGGTAAGTTTAAGCTCATATGACCGCAGCTAGATAATTATCAAGCCTCCTTTTAAAGACACCTAAGGTAAGAGCCAGCACCGCTTTCCTTGGAAGCTGGTTCCAGATCCTGGCCACTCTGACTGTGAAGTAGTGCCTCCTGATGTCTAGCCTGAACCTACTGTCAATCAACTTCTGGCTGTTATTCCTTGATAAGTGGGTACTTGGCTGATTTACTATTGCATTGTGAAATGTTGCTGAGGGAGTTTCCTTTCCACATTTCAACTTGCTAAGAGCTCAGATCAGAAGGGACAACATTTAAAACAAAGTCACTCTTCACATGTTATGATGGTAAACTCTTCATTTCAAAGTTCCCCACAAAGGGCACATCCCCATGAGTGTGCACATGCAGTTTGCCATGCCACAAACTTATCTGTGGTGCTGCAAACTGCATGTGTGCAGCAGTTTTTTTTTCACACCAGGAGATCCCAGTGTCAAAAAAAAAACCATGCCTGAAAAAAATGGGGGGGCACATGTGGCTGCAGCATGCGCTGCCCAAAACCAGAGCCTGGCTAGCCAGAGCCATGCTCCAGCTGCTGGTCAGGCTCTGTGTGTCTGGATTGCTGCTAGTGCAGCCCCGGGAGGCCCCCAGGACCTCAGGTAAGGCTTCTGGGGCCACCCCAGGTGCTGGCCTCAGCCTCCCCTACCCCACCTGGGGCAATTTGCGATGCACCAGAGCATATGTACAGGGGTGTACCTGGGGACAAATAACAGTGGCACAAATATGTGCTGCTGCTAGTTGTCCCCAAGAAAATGTACATTCCTGCTTACGGGAACATGCCCAGAGAGACTGTGGAATTGCCAACTGAGGGAGGGTTGGTTTTGGAAGACCTGAATCAGAACTTCCTAGACCTTAAATGTTAGAAGCTGCAAGTGAGAGAACAATGGAAAAAAACCTGGTCATACCAAGTTCACTCTCCCTTTCAATATCCACTCTCTGCCACATTGTGATACAGGAGACTGGGAAAGATGGGCCTATGGTCTGATGCAGTATATGACATTCTTATGTTCCTGTGTTCTTATGAGCAGGATGCAGATTAACTTCCATTTGGACTTTCTAGCTAAACATCCAGAGATGGTCTCTCAAGGCTGCTTGAAAAGACCATTTTATTTTTACTAACTTTAATGCTTGCACTGACACTTAGATCAATTTCTAGAAATCCAGGCCATCCTGAGTACTCTGTAGGGCAAAGAAATGTGGACATCCACAAACACCTGCCTAATTTTATAAACAAGGAAATGAGTTTCAGAGGCGGTATTTGCATGTGCATTTACACTGACTTAAATTTACTGCGCAGTAAGAACAAATAGGCCACCATCTACATATGTTAAAGCACATTAACACTGTGTGTGGACTGACGTGGGATTAAAGTTAGTCCCAAGTTAATCCACACACACAGTGTTACTGTTCAGTAACACCTTACTATCAGGTGTTACTGAACACATATATTACTGCACAGTAACTAATCGA